TAGAATAACATTTCCTACGAGTACGTAATTCAAGGATATCAAATCTATTCAGCAAGATGGTTTGCGGAATATTGCGAGTAGGGTAGACGCCATCTAGCTTGCACCACAAATATTTGACAAATTTTCGCTGAATTTTTTCTAATGCTTGGCTATATACTTCATATCCAGGACTCCAAACAATGGACGCATATTCTAGCTTACTACGTACAAAAGCGTTAAAAATAGTTTTTAAAGTGTTAGGCTCAGAGAACTGGCGTCCATTTCGAATGACAAAACCCAAATTTCTGTATGCTTCTTTTTGAATAGTATTGACATGTTCAATAAAATTTAACTTAGCGTCGAAAAGAACACCAAGATCTCTAAAAGAAAGACATTTATTGATGGTAATATTGTTGACAGTGAAATTATACTCAATCGGATTTAGTTTGCGAGTGAAGCTGATAGAATTGCACTTAGATATGTTTAGCGGTAAGTTGTTAGAATTACACCAAAGGTTCAATTTATTTAGGTTCTCCTGCATAATCAAACAGTCATCAATACTAGAGATTGATTTAAACAATTTGAAATCATCGGCATAGAGTAGAGTATTACATGATAGGTTTTCAGTAATGTCATTTACAAAAATGGAAAATAAAAGTGGTCCTAGAACTGAACCTTGAGGGACACCGGAAGAAGCTTTTATACAAATTGACTGAAAACCATGGTGTTCAACTTTTAATTTACGATTACTTAAATATGATTCAAAGAAACGCAGAAAAGACGTAGTGAGTCCAACAATGGAAAGCTTGTTCAAAAGTATACTATGATCGAGGCGATCAAAGGCCTTGGAAAAGTCAGTATATATAGTTTCAACCTGGCCACCCCTATCAAGGTTTTGCGCAACATATTGTGTAAAGTATATCAGATTGGTCTCTGTGGATCTGCCTGGAAAAAAGCCGTGCTGTGCCGTAGATATAATCGATTTTACATGAGCGAAAAGTATTTCATAAATGACATTTTCGAAAACTTTTCCAAAATTGCTAAGGATGGATATAGGTCTGTAGTTTTCTATGATAGATTTGGATCCTTTCTTAAAGATTGGACATATTTTAGATATCTTCCAATTACTTGGAAAAAAGCCTTCTCGTAAGGACATAATAAAGACCATGGTTAAAGGTTTGGTTAAAATATTTGCACAATCTCTTATTAAAAATGCCGGAATATCATCTGGGCCTCTAGTATTTTTAGGTTTCAATCTTTTAAGACCTTTCATGACATCCTCTTCTGTAAGTAGCGGAATGTTACAACTGTTAATATTAACAACATTATCTAGTTTAGAAATATCAATTTTAGACGAATTAGTGTACGATGACTGAAAATATATAGCAAATGCATTGACAATGTCTTGTGAATTATTTAAAGGATTATTATCAAAAGTCATATCATTTGGAATACTACTGCAGTTTTTCCTTGAATTTATATACTGCCAAAAATAATTGGGGTTAGAAGATATTCTATTCTCAATATTTGTCAAATAATTCCTGTAATTTATTGAAATATCGCGTTTAATTTTGGACCTAAGAATACTAAACTCAGTATAAATTTCAGCCTCTAGTGTCCTTCTATACAAACGATAAAGAGATGATTTTTTCCTCAAATCCGAAATTATACTTCTATTAAACCAAGGAGGGTATTTTGAATTGCACCTTGGTACAGTTTTTGGAACATTAGCGGCAATTGCGGAATTTAAGATAGAATAAAATAAATCACAAGTCTCCTCAGAAGTTGCGCATGCATTCAAACTACTCCAATTAATTCTACAGATAGTCTGGTATAGTTGAGGGAGATTTGCCTTTTTGAAATTGTAAGATACTTTACTAGACATAGCAAAACTGGTATTTATTTGAGAAAGAGATAGTTGAAATTCTAATGAAGGATGTAAAATATCTTCGTCAACTAATGGATCAAGTGAACGATTTACAGCGATGTCAGATCTACTAAAGATTAAATCGAGTAAACGGTTATTAAAATTAAGAGTATTATTATATTGTCTTAAAGCTAATAATTCGGTAAAATTATCAAGTGCAACTATACTAGCATTTTGCAAAGTAATGTCATTACGACTAGAATGATAATGTGGTATATTAAAATCCCCTAATATTAACAGTTCTTCATCATTGTTGCACCATTCGTAATTACATAAAATATCATAAAAGACATCGTATATATCATTACTAGTGGAGGGAGGAATATAAAGTAATATAACATACACATTGCTATTCGAGACTGAAATTTTTAAACCAAGTACGTCAATAGAAGGAGTAGAAGTAGTCAGTTCAGAAAGATCTAGTCTTAATGCATTGTATTCTTTTTTTAAAGCAATTAAAACACCTCCCCCTTTAGTAGTATTGGTAATATTAAAATTTCTGTCAGAACGAAATACTACATAATTTTTAAAAAATAATTCAGAGTCGTACACAGAAGAACTCAACCAAGTTTCTGACAGTGCTAATAGGTCGTGGTTACATTCGACGGAATTGTTAAATAGTTTTGCAAGTTTGGTGTTTAATCCTCTAACATTTTGGTAAAATACACTAAGTTTATGTTGGCTAGTATCAGAAATGCTTGATGATTGCTACGATGACATTAAAGAGTTCTTATAATATTCAAGTTTTTTCTGATAAACAGGGCACTTTGAGTGATCCCAAGCAAAATGTTTAACATCAGAAGTTTTAGCGTTAATACAGTTAATACATTTTATTTCAGAATCAATGGGACAATCTTTAATTTGATGTGGTCGAGAACATTTAGGACAAGCAATATTTTTTAAACACGACCCTTGGTTATGACCGAAACCGCTGCACTTGTAACATAATGTGATATCTATAGCATCAAACACTGAACATACATCGTAGCCAACAAAAAGACTTTAAAGAGACATTGCTTTCACATAAGTTTCGGCATCAATTTCTAGAGTTGCTTGATACATCTTATCATTTTTCTTGGTAGCCCAAATTTTCACAACGCTGCATACTCTGGATGATTGGATGACATCATTTTGGTACTTAAGTAATGAAATAAGTTCGTCAGGTTCATGCTTCTCAATCATTCCAACTATTCTAATTTTCGGATTTCTACTTTTAATTTCTTTAACTTCGTAAGCATCTGATAATTTTGCGTTAGCTGCATCTTTAAATTTAGATGCGTCTTCATTCTTACTACACCCAACAAGTATTCCGCCATCTCTGGTATTCTTAACTTTTGAAACTTTTATATTTAATTCAGTGGGATTAATATTGCTCATAATATCAGCCTTAGTTTGAATATTATTTTGTGTAGCATCCTTAGGTTTAATAACTACAACCGATTGACATGTCGCTTGAGCTACTTGCGAATAAGTTGACTTATTTAAATCAGAGGGAGGTATATTGCTAATATTTTCTTTGGCCATTTTAAAAATTTCTTCTTTAGCTTCAGTGAATAGTTTCTCCATATTTCCTATCACCTCTTTTAGCTTAGTATCCATAGTGTGCGAAAAATGCTTATTAAAATCAGTAACAGCAGGATAACATTCCTGACAATACCATAGAAGGCCATAAGTTTTAGTATGTTTGGCAACGTCCGATGGAACTCCAACACAACCGGTGTGAAATACTTTTTGTCCACAAAAACCAGCACATGAAATACCTGGTTTTGTTCGGCTTATCGCAGTGTCACAAGATTCACAGTTCATTGTTTATCAAAGTAACTACTGCATTTAATTAATGTATAAAATTAAGAATGCACATACCATCTTGTATATATCTCCAAATCATGCGGTATTAATAGATTACTATGTTTCAATTAATAACCAGTAGAAATTAATTAATTTCGCGGAGCAACACACACACACACCTTGCTACGACGACGGTTATATGCGGTTATGTGCAGATTTAGACCGCTTAAGGAAAATACGCTTTGATTGTGTGAATGAAAAAAGCCATGATCATGTAGGCTTTAAAACAGTATCAGCTTCTTTAGGCCAATCGTAAAAATCTGTATCAGCCACAAACAACGTCATAAGGGTTTTTATTATATTATAATATTCATTTGGATTTGCAATCACTTCCAACTTTTTAAACTGCTTTTCTAAAATACCAAAGACTATCTGGAGGGATAAACGAATATCCACGCACAGGAAAGAATAGCTCGATTGATTGGATATTGTTTGGCGCTTCTTAAAACCATCTGCAATACATGACCAAAACAATGTTGTTTTTGTTTTGGCCTCCACAACAGTCTGCAGCCAACCTAATTTTCGTATAAAAAGATAAGTCTGTATTTTACAATCGGTGAAATATGGCAGATGCCACTTGATTGGACCCTTTTCCATATACATCCTTAGTCCAACAGTAGCTTAAGGCAATTTTCATTGCTTAATTTGCTTGTCAATGATCCTTGCACTACAGTGAAGTTATGTAAGTAAAACTGGCGGCTTTAATATGCCTGCTGATCTGGTACTTACAAATTATTTTCCATGTCGAACAACAATATAAGTATATCTGAAACTACATCTTTCAGTAATGTAAAAAATGCTGAAGCCCGAAGTTTATGCACTCTCTAAGTAGTGATTAAAGTTTGTTTTTCTTTTACATCTTTATTTTTTCATAGAACTCAACACACGTGGAACACATGTCCGTTAAAACTCCTCCAAATCCAAAATTAAAATTTATAACAAATATTTGTCGAAAAAATGATCTTTTTACTTTGACTTCGTCCGCCGCCTGTGAATTATAGATGGAAAAAAGTTTATTGGTACTTAGGTTGGAAGATAAATACTTTCTGACACTTCTTCTTCTTCTTCTGCAGTAGTGAGATTCGACACACTGCAGTGAGCAAATAAATTTAATGACTGCTTGTTTTTTATAATAAAATAATTTAGCTTTCCTATCTCCACCTCTTTTTTCACATGCATTATTCCCATTTATTGCAAATTGTTTGGAGATATATGAAACTCTTGCTCTGGTTGCATGCACAACGGTTCAAAATGTCTTTTGACATACAGGTACGCAATGATAGTCAGAACCTTGAATAGTGAATTTTGTCTGCATTTCCCGTTTTTCCCGTCCATTGCCGTTTTTAGGTCTCCTGCCTTTTATAAGTAGTAGTGACATATATTTAAGGATAAAGTTGTCTTGACTAATTTTTGTCAAGTTTTCATGAAAATTGTTGTGAAATTTGAATAAGTCCCTCATTTTCAACGTAGCACACATAAATGCTTTGGATTTATGTTCACATTCTAAAAAAGTAGGTAAACTTTTGGCAGAATACCTAAAACAATATGACAGGCGTAAGTATGTATTTAAGATAATAATAGTAAAAATTTTTCATTTTATTTAAGTTTCAATATATAATAAGTTTTGTAGGTATATTGAACCGTTATATTTATTCACCCATATATATATCTCGTTTATTTAGCAAAGCTAATAGTACATTACAAATAAATAAAATTACAAAAAATATTTATCTATATCTAAAATATAAAATATAACACTAAAATATCACAGATGCTGGCTCGTTAACATATAATCTCTTAGTTTATATTTAAAGGTATTAAATGAGGCGACATTTCGGAGTTCTAAAGGTATCTCATTAAAAGCTTGAAGTCCCTTAAAAAATATTGAATTTTGGGACTGTTTACGTGCAACTTGTGGAATATGAAAATTAGATCTATTTCTTGTGTTATAGTTATGATAGTCAAAGTTGTAATTGATTTTATCAAGTAAATAAGAGGGGACCAGTCCATGTTTAATTTTATAAATGAATATTAATGTTAAGTACAGAAAATAGTTTTTAACATAAAGCCATTTCAAATTTTGTAACATACCTAATATATTGGTCCTTCTATCACATGACAATAATATCCTCATTGTTGGTTTCATTCTGATTAAGTAAATACATAATGGTGGCACAATAAGTGAAATGAGGCAAAACTATACTGTTATATAAAAGAATCAATGACCATTTATTAATATATTTTGAGCACCGGTATAAGTAGTTGACTTTAAACGCTACTGTTTTAATGATATAGTTTGCATGATCTTTAAAAAACAACTTATGGTCTACTATTACTCCCAGATATTTAATTTTTTTTACGACTTCAATGACATCATTTTCAATACTAATTTTCATATTATTTTCAGTAAATTCATTGTAATACCTAACATTCCCGATAATCATAAATTTAGTTTTGTTAATATTTACTTTTAACGAATTAAAACAACACCAATAATATATTTGCTTTAATGTGGTATTTATAGTAGCGGTTACTTCCTGCAAATTATTAGCAGAATAATACAGCAGAGTATCATCTGCAAACATATGTATGGAGCAACCACCTGCAACTTGAGAAATATCATCAATATATAGAAGGAACAATAGTGGGCCCAATACACTCCCCTGTGGTACGCCTAATTCATTTTTTTGTTCTTTTGATAAAATGTTTTTAAACCTTAATTTTTGTTTTCTATTGTCCAGGTAATTTATAAGCCATTCTAGTGAATTTTCAATAATACCAAAACTTTTTAACTTTTTAATCAGTAGAGATCGATTTACCGTTTCGAATGCTCTTTGTAGGTCTAAAAAAAGAGCACCTGTAATTAACTTGTTGTCAAGATTCTGTTTCCAGTCATTTAATACATATTGTAGTGCAGTCTCGCAGCTGTGTTTACCCCGAAATCCTGATTGATTACTATTAAACATATTATTTTCTTCCAAATATTCAATAAGTTGATTATATACTACTTTCTCTAAAATTTTTTCTACTGTACATAACATATTAATAGGACGTAAGTACACTGCCCTATTTGAATTCTCAACCTTAGCTATTGGTGTTATTATTGAAATTTTTAGATCGTCTGGAACAGTATTAGTCTCTAACGAGGAATTTATTATATTTATCAATGGCTTAGCAATATTTTCGAAACAGTATTTTAAAAACAGTACATTAATTTCATCAGGACTTCCTTTATTCGACATATCAAAAACAATTTCTTTTAAAGTTGGGTTAAGAAAAATGTATTTGATAAAAATAATGTATCCTTAAAAAATTGTTATTAAAATTAACGTTTTATGTTTGCAATTTTAATAGAATTTTTAATTTTAAATTTTTATTAGACCTATATCAAGTTAATACTGGAAAGTAAACACAGTCACAGAGTAATTTTCTATAACATGCAATATTAAAAATTTGTCACGCCACTGATAGTAAAAAATCTTAACACTATAAATGGATACTACTTACTTCAATCGTTTAGCGACGTTTCTTTTCCATTTTAAAGGCTGTTTGATTCTCTTATGAGCTTTTTCAGGATTAACAGGAGACATACAAATACTTGACGATGCACTAACGTCCATGTTTATAATATTATTTTTACTAAATTTTTAATTATAACGACTTCTTTAGCAAATACCTTTAGTCACATGACAATGTCTAATATGGCTCATTGGCAGAATCGGACATCACTCTTTTTGAAATGACAGGTATGATGGAGATTGCTGTTTTTGATACAAATGAAGTATTTTAAACGTAGAAAAAACTGTTTTTTTACTAATTTTGATAGAATATAGTAAAGTGAGGTGATACTAAGCTTCAAGTAGATCCATTGGTAGGTCATTTTTTATAAAATGTGGAGATGTCGACTTTGATACTAATAGGCTCAATTGGTAATTTTTAACTGACTTCAAAAAAGGAGGAGGTGCTCATTGATTCTTTTTTTGATAGAAAGGGGGGTACTTCAGGGGTGGTTCCATATAAATTTGGTCAAAATCTAATATTTGGGTTCATAAGAAAATCCTCAAACTCTTCATTTTTTATGTATGTTTAGCGATAATGCTTTACCACCTTGTCCGATTTATATTATTCTTTTTTTGTTAGTAAGGGGGTGGTACCTCAGGGGTGGTCCCATATAAATTTGGTTAAGATGTGGCGACGGCATCTGCACGTTTTTGAAGTCGTTTTTTTTTTTAATTTTTAATTTCTAGTTCTTGTAACTTTCTATCTCGCAGATACTTATATGAACTTATACAGTTATACAACAATATTTTTATACCCATTTTTTGTAATTAAATGTTGCTTAAACTTTAAACTGCAATTTTAATAAAACTTTCCCATTAAGATATTTTACTTTATTCATAAAAATCATGTGTAAAAAAGTCAATAACGGCACAACTAGTTTTTTTTTTTTTTAATATTAAAGTAAAATAAATACGTTTGGTTATAAAAGTAGCAATAATACAATTTTATACCTAATCTAAACACATATCAATATCAAACTTACAATTAAGTAAAAGAGTTGAGGTAGAATTTATAAATCTTTTAAATCAATTTTACAAATCGGTGATTTTCTCAAAACTGATAATTTTGTGATGTGCCACTATTGAACCCAATGACCGATATACGCACAGACGACCAGACCAATATTTTTTTTTATTTTCGTACATAGAGCGATCGGAAACGCGAAGAGAAATTTTTAAAATGTGGCCCCATAGTTAAGGGTAGGGAGAAAGATCAGTAATAAAGTAAAATATTTACTTTTTTATAGGGCTTATTATACAATAATAAGTATATATTCCTTTACTTTTTATTTATGTCCATAAAGTAATGAAATAAAGAAATGACCTAAACTTTTCATAAATGTCCAAAACGAATAATAAAGATTATGCTTATTATTATTTATAGTTAAATGGAATAATAAATTTGGAATGAAATAGGTTTTTTTGTATATCGGTGTACATCTATGTTTTTCATCAGAAATAATTCACATATCGTCTTCCTTCAATCTCCGATTTTCCAGAAACGAGTTCCTTCTAAACGAGAGCTTGGAAATTACGAAAGTAGTAAGTCGTCGTTTTTTTTTTCGGGAGAGAGAGGTTGCTCCGGAGGGATCTGTAGATAGCATTGTATATGAGCACCGTTAGACTGGACATAGTTTAAGCCGTCCCATAAACAAACGGCTATCTGGCCATCAGTCGGGAACAGTTCAGGTTCAGTCGCATTTCCTCCTGTCCCTGGTGGTAAACATCGTAACTTTGCTCCATATCATTTCTCCACAGGGCGATCTGCCTCTTGGACATATTTATAGTGCGGTCAATGATCGGTCAAGTAAATTATAGAACGGGAAATTTATGCTTTGCATAATAGAGGTAAGGTTACATAACTTTAACATGTAGACCGTTATGTGGTAAAAACTTGCATTTATAGAGGTAGTAAATTTTATATTGATTATCAAAGTTTAAAAAATATAACTGCATAATTTATATTATAAATAATTAAACTAGAATTTGCCTAATGCGATTCTGAAGTTTTTAAATAGTTAATACTATTGGTTATCGATCTTTTAAAGTGTATTAACATAGGAAATATGAGCTGATTCTAACAATTAAGTAAAGGACTTGGAAAAGTTTGAATTATTATTTCTTGATTGTTAAACGCCAGCATCTCCAGGTCAAGTGCTGCTCAGGCTCCCTACTTATGCGGCTTAAGTATTACATTCATGCCGATTTTCATCCCCACTTTTTTCACTTTTCTCCTAGTTTGGGACGGTACTGACCAGGAGATAACCTTTTTGAGCTAGGATGATGAATTGATGATGTAACAATGCAAAAATTTAAATGTGTATTATTACAATTATTCAGAAAAATGACCAGCTAAAATAATTTGGCCGATGAGCAATACATATAATAATAGTATTCTTCTATATGTGGTTTTGAAAAATACTTTTTTCTACGAACTCTTACAAAAAGACATCTTTCGCCACAGGATACTTTCAGCGAAAACTTGATTTCCGTCACTAGTGAGAAAAAATCCCATAACGTTTACTTTCGTCTCTAGTGACGAAAGTAAGTTGTTACATATTTTCATATATCAGTCGCCTCGTATAATATTTTGGCAGCTTATAATTATTAATAATGAAATAAAAAGATGCTCATTAAATTCTATATGCGTTTTTACCTAAACTGTAATGAATTAAAGATAAAATAAAAATGTATAAAAATAGTGCAAATTAAACCAATCTACATCTAGTTTCCTGGTTTTCATTTGTTTATTTGAAGCTTTATCACTTTTGAGAACTGTCAGTTTCAGTTCGTCCTAAATTTAACACATTTTCATGATGTCTTAGTCAGAAAGCGATTGTACTCCCCCAGAAATTATTTTTAAAGCTGAAGAAACCTCTTCAGATTTATTACCGGCCAAATCAAAAAAGAGATATGAAGAAATTTATATCAAATTTTTGGACTGGAGAGAAAAAAATAAAGTGAAATCATTTTCGGAAACTGTACTACTAGCATACTTTGGAGAAATATGTTCAAATTTTAAACCGTCGACGTTATGGTCCATTTATTCGATGCTAAGAACTACACCCTCTGTTAAAAATGATGTCGATATTAGTAAATATCCAAAGTTACGTTCGCTTTTGAAAAGAAAATCTGATGGTTTTAAAAGCCAAAAATCCAACATTTTTTCGCCTGAAGACATAAAGACTTTCCTAAAGAATGCACCTGACTATAAATATTTAATAACAAAGGTAACGGAATTATTATTTTTATTTTAACAAATACTTAATACATAACTACTAATATTTGTAAGTAGCATTAGTTTTTGGATTATCTGGCGCTTGTCGTTGCCACGAACTAAAAGATTTAACAATAAGCGATGTAAAGGATACTGGAAGTTTAAAAAAACCAAAAAAGGTTGACAGCTGTGTGCACGTAGTTTAGATTCAAAAAGGAAAAACTTGTATTTCGTGCAAAACTTTTTTATTAATCAATTCAAAGCGCTTTCGGCTTATTTGCCATCATCAGTGCTCATCTACAAAAATTGTGGATGTAAACTTACAATTTAAAAAGATTTAAAAAAAAAATTTATAAAATCTGAATTAGACTTTTAAGTCAAAAGTTAAAATAGTATATATACAATTGTTTGAACGAATTAAAAATTACAAGAAACAGACAAAGTGACAAAAAACCTGGTATTGGGAATAGTGAGTGTGGGATAAGCCCCAGATTTGATTTGTAGGGGCTTATCCCACACTCACTATTCCCAATACCAGGTTTTTTGTCACTTTGTCTGTTTCTTGTAATTTTTAATTCGTTCAAACAATTGTATATATACTATTTTAACTTTTGACTTAAAAGTCTAATTCAGATTTTATAAATTTTGTTTTTTAAATCTTTTTAAATTGTAAGTTTACATCCACAATTTTTGTAGATGAGCACTGATGATGGCAAATAAGCCGAAAGCGCTTTGCATTGATTAATAAAAAAGTTTTGCACGAAATACAAGTTTTTCCTTTTTGATACTGGAAGTATTCTGTTAGTTAAAATCCGTAATACAAAAACAAAAGTTCCGCGTTCTTTTCATATTTCTGGACCCTTTTATGATATTTCTAAAAAATATATGAGCCTACGTCCCGCAAACATGGATCAAATTAATTCAAGATTCTTTATTAACTATCAGAATGGAAAGTGTATCAGACAGGTTGTTGGAATTAATAAAATCAGTAAATTTCCTAACGAAATTGCTCAGTTTTTAACGCTTCCGAATCCTCAAGATTACACTGGACACTGTTTCCGCAGAATATCCGCAACGCTATTAGTGGATGCAGGAGGTGACTTGCTTCTGTTAAAAAAGCACGATGGTTGGAAATCTAGTAGTGTTGCGGAAGGATATGTTGATGAATCCACGAACAGTAAAAACCAAATACAGACCAAAATTTTACAATCTGTACAAAATAAGGAAACTACTAGTTCATCCGATTATGGCGCATCATCATCTGAAATGACATTTAACAGTAGAACAAATATGTCGGCATCTACCTCAATAAATAAAAAGCTTGAGTGTGATACCCCCATAATTTTGAACAATTGTTCAAATATAACAATAAATCAATATTTAAATAATAAATAATATTTCTGAAATATTTAATTGTTGGTTAATTTTTTGTTATTCCTAACACAAAATAAAGCATTTGCTAACGTTTTTTATTTTTTTCATTTTAGTAGGTACCTACATGACATAATAGAGTTCGTAGAAAAAGTATAGTGGTTTACTCGTCGAAAATCATTTTTCGTCACTCGTGAAACAATATACTATACTCAGAAGGAACGTTATACTGGTAACAAAGAATTAGCAATTAATAAATTTATTATTTAATCCATGAAAGAGACACAATGAGTAGTAAAAGAATTTTATGGAAACCAGAGATCCAACGGCAAATAAAGATATTAGATATGCAGGAAGCTTTTCAGAATTTCAGGAGGTGGCAACATTGGAAACAACGAGAAGGCAGAGAAGGAAGAACCAACAATCCTTCTAATAGTATAACATTTTAGATACATTCATAAAACGCAAACCG